TCCATCTAGTACAGAAATCACTGGAACTGGGGTCCGGCTCTGGTCACTAAGACGCGATAAATAAAATATTTTCTCAAACAATATTAAAACTGTCAGACATTCTTTTAACAAAGAGGTTATTATAAACCTTGTTTTCAGTTTGGCTTTATCCACAAAACCTTTTACATCCTTGTGCTTTTCATTAAATATTGCAATTTTAGTATTTTTATTGAACAAATAAAAATTATAAATGCAGAAATAAATAATTTTTCTTTTCTTTTAAATCTTTTTACATTGTGTCTCTGAAATCCTTCTATATGGAGGATTTGGCCCTTTTAACAAAAGGTTTGGACACGACTGCTTTAAACTAATACTTTGTTTAAGCCTTGAAAAAGTCAGGAGAAGCTAATTTGATCAGTTGTACTATATTTGAGGTTAATGTTGGGCTGTTGAAAATGGTTCAGTTTGTGCTTCTTCATCATCAGGTGATATATTTTGAACACACACTGTTTTTTAATTTAAGAGGATTTGCATATTTATAAAAAACCTATTTTCATCTTTTTGTTTTTGTAATATTTTGTTCCAAAATATATATATATATTTTTATGAAGTAGCAGAGGTTTAATTTTAATAAAGGTAATAACAATGAAAATCTTATATTCTCAATCTTCTTTAATTGAATTAAATAGCGAAACAGTGTATTTGGCAGAAAAATGTTAAATAAAGCTGATCTGTTAGAAGTTGTTCCCCTCTAACCAGAACTGTAATTTTTCCAGACGGTTCAAACTGTTTTCGGTTGACTTTGCTCTCCTTTTATTTTTAATCTGTAATGGTGTCCCCTGTATGGGTGTGTGTGTGTTTTTGTTTAAACCCCCTTCCTGTTTGCACGGCCTGCTCCCATATGTGTTCTTATGCCATGAAAATACGTGTATATATAGAGTACATCTGTATTTCCATCCTTGCATACAGATGCCATAGCAATAACTCTCAGACTCAGAGTATGATTAATTTATGTCTTACCTGCCTTTTTACCGAATTACTTGCAGGCCCTTAGGGGTTCATGCAGCACGCAATGCTGAAAATAACAGCTCAAAAGAGAAAAATGCAAATGATCAGGCTAGACACAGCACTGAATCCATGGGGGCACGCACACAGCCTGCATACACAACCACACTAACAAACACTCATTCTTCTCTCTCCATCCATCTATTTCTCCCCTGCTCTCTGCCTCTCGACGAGGAGAGAAAGCCGGATGGATATCAGCAGGGGTCAGAGCAATGCTCACAGTGAATAACAGAGGCATAATAAACAGAAGCCTTCCCTCAAATTATGAGTGCTGCGGTTTCTCACACTAACACACCCGTTCCGTTGCACACACACCCACACACACATTTTTACCCAGACACGTACAAAGGCATCCAATCAATCAGCAAAGTTTCCCCTATCTCCCACATATGAAAATGGAACTTCAGAAATTAGCTCATTTATTTTGGACAATTAGGGTTATTGGAGTGTGACAGTGAAAATTTAGTGTTCACTGAGGCGTACGCTCAGCAACAATAGCAGGAAGCCAATTGAGTGCGAGAAGCATTTAAAGCTGTAGTATTTACTTATCAATGTTCCTGGCGGTCTGTGTTGATCTCATTAAAAGCTCTTCCTCTGTTTTCTTTTCTTTAGGCAGGATAGACGTGTAGAGAGGAAAAGAGGCAGGAGCAGCCATCCCTGTCGCACATGATATTATAGCCAAATCAAAACGCAGAAATAGGGCTGAGAAAAGAGAGCACTCTGCATTTTAAAAAGTGGGCCTTCCTGCAAAAAAAAAAAAAAAAAAAAAAAAAAAAAAGGACCTTGTTGATCCTCAGAACTGAATTTATTGTAGCTAAATGGGTTCACTCTGGTTCTATTGTTACAAAGTTCAGCATGGTCCTTGCATCTTAAATTTCTGATTTCACCCCCGGTTGGAAAGAATCCTTCTTCTGACTGGTGTTGAATAGGCATTTACATTTTTATCAGTCATTATTGAAATAAATGCTTCAGTTTTGTTTTTGCAATGCCATTTTTAAAAGGCTTTGGTCCCTTTCATGACTGCCTGTGGCATTAAATCCATTATTTCTAGAATAACCTTAATGAAACTGACAAATATTTGCAAATTCATAGAAGTAATATCTTATCAATTTCCAAGGTGTCTGAAACTGCTGCTTGCACCTTCCAGTTTGTTTTACAAATTAAATTATTAAAATTTTCAAGCATAACAGGAAAATGAACAACTATGAAAAAAAATTCTGCTTTTTTGACAATAATTTTGTTGACAATAACTGGTTTTTTCCCTACTTGTCATTAATATTTCCAAGACTTTCTAAACACAAGTCATCTTTAATTCTTTATGATTTTGGAAAGTGGACAGCAAATGGGATTGAATGAGAAGATATTCAGTGGAGGTCGGCAGGTCCGGGACTCAAATGTTCATCAGCTGCATCACAAACTAAGGCCTCCATACATGGATTGTCTGCTTTAACCCCTGTACATGCATCATTTTATTTAAACCTAGACTTTAGATATCATTTTAGGTTTTAAAATGGATAAAAAAGCAGTCAAAGTGTTATTGCAATGTGAGCAGATTATAGTGTTGACATAAACAATACCTGTGGTATACGTTTATATGGAGTTAAATGTTGTTTCCTCCTGTCAGTAGAATATTAATATTTAAATGTTCGTCTTCACTACAACACACTTCCTTATTCAACTGGATAAAAAGACAGGTGTTCCAGACATTTAGACTCTGTGCTGTAACTCAGATATACATTGTGGTGAAAAAGTTAGTCCCCATTTAAAGTACTGATCTTCCATGTGTTTTCTGTGGAAATATAAAAAAACACTAAAACTAGACCGTCACAATCAGAACATAATTTAGATAGAATGTCAGTGATTAGGAATTAGGTTCAGAGATCTCAAAAAGCATCACACTGTATCTTCAGAGGCAGAGGAATTCAGAAAGCGGTGAGACACAAAGACACAGCCTTATGTTGCTCTGGAAAGAGTCACACAGATATTTCTAAAGTTGAAAGACTACATTAGGAGCCATTATATACCAATAGAAAAGCAATAAGAAAGTCATTTTGCAGAAAGCATCCTGGACAGATCTAGTTGGAAAAAAAGCTGCTAACCAGTTAAACTCCAATCATTCAATGATTTCTGAAACCTTTTGGAAAAATCTTCTGTTACAATAGAAGATTTAAATCAGAATTTCAGAAAAAGAAAATCTTCCTGACAATCAAACATGGCAGCAGTGGTGCGGTGTGAAGCTCATCGTGCCGTAAATGATGATGAAATGTTGATTCTGCTCTAACAGAACATCCAGCTCCGATTATAAAGCACACCAGGATTATTCATTAGAGTTAAGAACAGAAATGTATGATTCATGAGAACAAAATAAAGGTTTTGGAGTGGCGTGGTTGGACTCAAAAACACTTTAAGGCTAAATACAAAGAATTTCACAAAGAAGAGTGAACTTCTCTATTTAGACTCTCAGCCAGTTGCAGTAAAATTATGTTTATGTGGTTAATTACTTTTCTAAGGCATTTTCTTTCTTAGCTACTAAATCCCGAATAAAATAATAGATTAGTCATTTACTCTGCTTATCTCTGTTTGATACGGATATAATCCTGGATCCTGGTTTTAACTTGGATTATAGTTTGGCTAAAAACAGACTTCATTTTAAAGTCTTATTAAATTATTATTATTTTTTTTTTCAAAATATGAGCAAACCCTATTTTATTTAGCATTTGTTTCTACATTGAGCTTTATTTTCATGACTATAAAATAAAGGTTGCCATAAAAAAGGAGGTTGAGATGCCAAAACAAGATAAATGTAGCAGCAGCAGCTGCATTTCTCAGACTTCCTTAGAATCTACTCTAATACTTCCTCTTATTTAAAGCAGTAACAATGATGCATCATTGTTTTCTTTAGTCCAGAGCACCAAACTTGTTCATGGTGTTGATTCATCTCCTCTGTAACACAAGCTAAATGCAGGTATCTGTCTAAAGTTGGGCTGAAAAAGCAGCAGTGATACATAAATGATAAGTTTCTGCAACTTTCCAAGCGGTGAAATCTAACAACTTTTCAGATTACAGTGACGAGCGGCAGAGGTGACAGCAGCGGTGGGACACGTGTACATGCAAGCGTGTCACCTGTAAAACAACGCTAATAACAGAACGCTATCAGTATGCAGTGTTCTCCATCCCCTCTACATCTACCTAAGAGTTTCTAAATTAAATTTTTAAATTAACCCTGGCGTATTCCTTCATTTCCTTGCTAAAGTCTGCATAATTCATCACAATCTACCGTGGCAGTTGATTTTAATCAGCCCGTTTCATACAGGGGTTGTTTAATCTGGATGGAGTTCCTGTATTCCCTTCGCCTCAGACATTAGTCTTCTGGGAGACGAATAAGGATACAGTGACAGGGGCCATCGATGAGGCAATAAATATTTAAGATGCAATTTTAATATGTAATACGGTCTACTTAAAAGCAGTGTTTGTTATGGCCTCCCGGTCGTCATTACATATGCAGAAGCTGTTTTCTTTTTCTTTCTGTGCCATCAGCATCTCTTCAATATTAACACCTCCACAGATGGGTTTCTGATTGCCTGGCTAAATGTGTGTATCCCATGCTTCTAAATTATTATTGTGATTAACATTATTAATGGATTTTTTGTTTGCAGTCAATTTACATGCCTCTCTTTGAGCAGAGAAGACGTGTCAGGGCCGTTTCCCTTCCTGCCTGTTTGTTTCTCAGCTATTTTCTCTCTCAGACAGCTCTGCTTGCTGGAAAAGAGAATTTATTGAATCGTAGTGCGAGCTGGTATAAACCTTAACGTAATGTATTCTGTATGGAGGTGGAGGAGAGTGACTGCAGCACCAACACTTCATTACTCAGGCAGTGGGCTGGGCTTGTGCCTCGGTGTGTGTGTGCTAAAATGCAGCTAATCTTACTGAGATCTATTGCTGTGAACCACATTACCATGGGGTGGGTGACATTGATCAGCTGATCAAATTAATCCGTTTTCTTCACTCTGGCTAGTTCAGGAGCAGGATGAGGGTAATTGTTCATTAGGAAATATGATGGAAAAAGGAGAAAGACAACTACAATGAGAACATAGCTATTATAGTATAATATATGATTTAACGATAATATACAATAATATATTAAATGTAGCTTAATTTGGGACCTTTCAATAATATGAAACCTAGAAACTCCCTATAAGGCTGGAAAAAAATATTTGGTGTTTCTCTTTATCTTGGAGCAGGAGAACAACTCAATTAGACATTTTGCACTGTGAAAGATTATTTTCAATTGTTATTTTTAAATTATCTCTAACTTTGGTTTCCTTTTTTGTCTACAGAAAATACTTTGCTTTAGAAGGAACTACAGCAGGCAACTACATGCAAAACCCGCACAAGGTAAACTGTTTTCTCTGGTTTCATTAAAGCTAGATTGTTTTTCAAAAATCAGCACAATTCAATTACAGTCTGACTTCAGAATTCGCAATAGTTTCAATTCTTATTTACGCAAGACATGAGTTTTTGTTGCAAGAGGCAAAAAAAATTTAAAAGATTGTTCAAAAAACGGTTTGTCACTCATATTTTATAATTTAATCTACAGTTCAAAAGCTACAGCAATGCAAATTATTTTAATATCAGGACGTTAAAATCAAAATAAAAGTTAAAACAGTAGACCAAAGCTGCTGTCGTCAGAACTAACCCCTGCCTATCTTCTCCCTCTCACTAAAAGGAGAAGATAGGTCAATGACCGGCTACCTGACATGTAGCAACCATACCATGTATATTGCTTTAGATTAATAGACTATATTAATTAGGCTATGTATACTTCCAAAAAAAAAAATCCTCCATCCCCCTTCTTTTTTTTAGTAGACTTGTGCTAATAACCAAGTAAAATATCTGCTAATTAATGGGATTGTGAGAACATTTCTGATTATCAGGGCTTTTCCAGTGGACTCCACTTCAGGACTCCAGTTTGTTCAGTCTAAATATTTTCTTTTCTGTTGGTGAAACTATTTTATTGGTAATATACTGTAGCCCAAATCAGTTCATTTCAGTTTATTTATAAAGAGCTGATAGACAATATTTACCATCTTAAGGGATTTTACAGAAATGCTACATTTATTCTAAATATTCTTCTAACAGCTGTTAATCCTAAATTACTGCTAAATCCTTCTGCTTTATAGGGGGTAAAGTGCAGTGAAATGTGTTTTGTTTGATTGTTTCCTTTTTTATTCTCTCTCAGACAGAGTGGACAGATTTCATGGCGTTCTTACTGAAAGCACATTTAATTCTCCCAGGCAGCTGAGTTGTGGATGCATCATTCTGAGTTCTTATGGACGGTAATTTTTGAACACTCAAGTTTCCTTAATGCTAAAGCAGGTTTTCAACAAATTCTGCCTCCACTGATTTTACCCAAGTGAAGTAAGGGGGGGCAACAAAAAAACAAACATTTTTTTGCTTCTTTTTATGTGCACAAATACTGCTTTTACGTTCCCAATTATTGTAAACAAAATTACTTTTAAGAACAGCAACTTTTAATTTGAATTAAGTTTCTGTTCATGTATTTCTATTTATAGTTATTTAATTTTCAAAGAACTTTGCACATCTCTGCTTAATATAAAAAAAAGTCTGGAATAAAAAAATTGAAACATGTTCCATTTTATGTCAGGGATCTTGTTTTATTGAGCGTTTTATGTGCCTATTACATGTAGCTCAGAGTTTTTTTAAATTTAAGATCTAAGTAATTACTCCAGCATCTCTCTCTCACTCTTCTTAATAATGATCCACTTTACACTCGATGTTGATCAACAACCCTGCCATGCTGGTTTTCCTTATACTGCGCATCAAGAGCCCTTCTTAATCTGCCACCGCAACATGAGCTCCGCCGCTCTGTCTAAACACATGCTCACTTATGAGCACGCAAACAGCCTCCAACAGAATGAGCAAGCAAGGCTGGCAGCCAAAGCAGGCTTGGCACGGGGCCTAATGATGCCCGGCATGCGTCTGCTCTCGACAACAGCGGGTTAACACCTGCCAACTTTTACTAAGGTGTAAATGTCTCTATTAGCAAGCGGCTGGTCCCGTGTGAGCTCCGCCTGGATCAGAGAAGGAAATGCGAGAGCTCTGGTTTCTGTTCCGAACCTTGTAATCACCGGGTCCAATGGGCCTGTTCAGCATGCTGCTTTTTTCTCTCCTTCTGAATGATTTTTTGTTTTCAAAAAATGATGGCATTAGAGAGCTGAGCTGTGTGGAGGGGAATTCCTAACCAGTCATGTTTCAAAAGATAGCAGCTCATACAGTATCTTTATTGCAGATTCTTGATGAATGTCGATGTATAAATACCTTCAGAAGTGTCCTCTAGTGAACTGTGGACCTAGATTGGTCCTGCAAAGAAAACTTACCGGATGTAATATTGATGGGATCATGAGAAATGGCCCTTTATCTCCATACAAATAAACATCCCACTGGTTCATAGCGACACGTTTGTTTATTCTAGTTGAGCTGCAGTGTGTTGAAACTTACTGTGATATTCTTTAGTCCTGATTTTTGTTTTCTCTGGCATTCAGACCTAGTTTGCCTTTTTGACAAAAATATTTTATTTTATTGCCCAAATTGGTATTTTTTTTACTTGGTTTCAGAAAACCAGATGCATGATGTTATACACCCTTCGACAACATCTACATAATTTCAAACCTGAATTTAGCTTCCCGTCTAAAGGAAGGACTTTTTGTTTGCTGCATCCTAAAGCTTTGCTCTTCTTCTTCACCCACTACCATTTCTTTGTTTTGATTGCATTGGATTTGCATTGATATTTATAACCTATCTTCATATCATAATTTAGGTCATTTCAGAGGCCTATAACACAGACAACAGATAGAAAATATGGAATGTGAACATCACAACAACAGCTAGAATCAGAAGGTATTGGCATATATTATGAAAAAGCTCATGCTAGCTTTTCATTACAAAACATATATTCATTGGAGAGATCAATATTGATGAAACACGGGTCTCATTTCAATAATAATACAATTTGTAACACCGTAAGATGAAATGCAGTTTTACGCACTAAGACTGTTCCATACTGCTTAATATGAGCACTGAAGCCTTATAATGATTGCTCATAATTGTAACATTTAATACAATTAATATAAATGAAAAATAAACTGTAATTTTTTCTCTCCTGCCATTTAAATTAAGTTCTCCTCTAAAATCTGTCATAAAAATCAGTTCTCCTGTTGTATGAGATTTCTGAGTTTCTTGCATTGTAAAAAGGAAAACAATTTTAAACTGAAAGATCTGATTTGGTCAGCTCTGCGCTGTAAAAAAGCCAATGATGCAGTGATGGTAACATCCCAACTATTCTGGAAAAGGAGAAAGGCACAGCAGGATGCAATAATTTACAAAGAACAAGTGGAACATGAAAAGGATGCTGTAATCAGTCTTTAGTTCAAAGCATGAATAAAGCTGCCTTTCCTTTCATTTAAGTCCTGTTAAACAACTGAGAGATGGGTTACATTCATTTAACAGCATAAACTGATCTATAATGTCAAAGTCAAGACCTTAAATTTGACCTACATTCATTTGACCTACTGACAGCCTTAATCGTAGTAGTTGACCTGGCCTGTGAACAAAAATACTATGGGAAAGAGGGATTTTCCAACCTATCTCTCATGTACATGTAGACCTTTAATAGGTAAGACTTGAAATATTAATCCTTAACTGCCAAGATGCATTTGAAATTATATACAGAATATATAGTTTGTTTTTGATATAGAACAGATACAAATAAGAAAATAATTGTTTAAAAAATAATAAAATAGACATATTTGCAAAATTTTGGATAAATGGACATTAACTCCATCTCTTATAGTGGATTGTTTTTGGTAATATTGCTATAATAGAAGCAAGTCTTTAACCTAGTAGCCATTCACAATTTTCCCACTCCCTCCTTGATGGGTCCTTGGCTAGTCCCTTTAATTGCTTTTTAAACATCAATCTTTGTACTAGAATATTCTTTTATGACTTTTGGACATTAGGATCTAAAGCAAAGCGGCATCTCCTGGTCAGAGCCTGTAATTCAGTGAAAGGGTTGAGGCAGAATAAAAAATATGCAAGAGGGGGGTCACTGCAGTGGATGGAAGTTGGAGGGGATTGCTGGGAGTTGTAGGGAAGTGGGCTGCCATTCAGCAGGCATTTGACTGGGAAGGGCCATTTTGAATGGCTGCTACTGTAAATTACAACATGTCAAGCATTACATCATGACAGTATTTCATATATAACCTGGTGAGCCTGAATAACGATATGTAAAACAAAGGTTAGTTATTAATCTGGGCCTTCTCCCATCAAATCTCCGTTGGGAAATGACGAACTTTAGCAAAACCTTTTGAGCTGATTGGGCAAAGCAACACTTAGAGCCCGCTTACCAAAGTTTGGTTTTAGCCATCAGCTCTAAAAAATGAAATAGCAGTAGATGTCATGAGAAATGACAATGCAATTCAGTTGAATTTATTCATATAGCGCCAATTCACAACACATGTCATCTCAAGGCACTTTACGGAGACAATTCAATCAGATAATACAGTCAGACAGCAATCCTTCACACTAAACATACATGTAGCTGAATTGGAGAAGAAAACTCCCTAGAACAAGGCTCAATGTGAGCGGCCATCTGCTAACTGCGGTAGCATGTATACTGACGTATAAATAGACTGACATAACTTTATACGTGTAACACTCAGAGCTGTAAAGAAAACATGTTGAATTAGGATTATTTACATCACACAGACCACTTAGGTATATACCAAAATGGTTTTCTGGATACATACTGTTCATCTGTTGTTTCTCTCTGGCTCCTTTGGAGAGCTTCAAATCTTCCCTGCTTGGCTCCAGTCACCCTGCTTGCACTGAAGAGGTGCTAGAAAAGAGGCCGCCCACCACGGCCTCTCTGCCCCCTTTCTTGGCTTATTTATCTCCCTCTTCCTCTTTCAGCAAACCATGTGAAACAACCAAGAATTGGAATATACTGTACACTGTTTGCAGAATTATTAGGCAAGTTGTATTTTTGAGGATCATTGTTATTATTGGGCCAAAATGGTGTTCTCAATCAACCCAAAAGTCTCCGTGATATTGAAGTTTTATATTTTTGGAAGTTAATGTGCTTTTTTCTTCTATTTGGCCATTTTATGAAGATGTCTGTGTGTGCATGTAAGTATTACTGTGCAGAATTATTAGGCAATGTCATAAAAAACAGATATATACCCATCTCACTTGTTTATTTTCACCAGGTAAACTAATATAACTACTCAAAATTCAGAAATAAACATTTGAGACATTCAAGAACACAAAAACCAAAAACAAATCAGTGACCAATATAGGCACCTTTCTTCACCATCACAATCAAAAGCCTTCCATCCATAGATTCTGACAGTGTCTTGATCTGTTTGCGATCCACATTGCGTGCAGCAGCCACCACAGCCTCCCAGACACTGTTCAGAGAGGTGGACTGTTTTCCCTCCTTGTAGATCTCACATTTCCTGAAGGATCACAGGTTCCTCGATGGGGTTCAGATCAGGTGAACAAGGGGGCCATTTCATTATTTTTTCTCCCTTTAGACTTTGTCTGGCCAGCCAAGCTGTGGTGTATTTTGATGTGTGTGGCGGAGCATTGTCCTGCATGAATATCATGTTTTTGCATGAATATCATGTCCTGCATGAATATCATGTTCTTCTTGTACCACTGTTTGAAGAAGGTTTCTTCCAGAAACTGGCAGTAGGTCTGGGAGTTGATCTTAACTCCATCATCAACCCGAAAAGGTCCCACAAGCTCATCTTTGACGAGACCAGCCCATACCAGTACCCCACATCCACCCTGCTGGCATCTGAGTCGATAAGGAACGTGCTGCCCTTTACTGATCCAGCCGGGTGCCCATCCATCTGGCCCATCAAGACTTCATCAGACCAAAACAACTTGGAGAAATCAGTCTTCAGATATTTCTTGGCCCAATCTCGATGTTTTGTCTTGTGTGTCTTGTTCAAAGGTGGCCTTTTTTCGGCTTTCCGTACCTTGGTCAGGTTCCTGAGTATTAGACACGTTGTGCTTCTCAGCACTCCAGCTCTGAAATATGGCACAACTGGTGGCTAATGGCTTCCTGGCAGCTTCACGCTTGATCCTTCTCCATTCATCCGGAGTTATTTTGCGTCTTCTTCTTTCAACACACTTCTTGCGCCCCAGTTGGCTATTTGCATGAACCGCTTGATTGCGTGATGATCCTGCTTCAAAAGCTTGGCCATTTCCAAACTGCTGCACCCCTCTGAAAGACATCTGACAATTTTTGACTTTTCTGTCAAATCTCTTTTCTGACCCATTTTGCCAAAGGAAAGGAAGTTGCCTAATAATCAAGCACACCTTATATAGGGTGTTGATGTCATTAGGCCACACCCCGTCTCATTACAGAGATGCACACCACCTGATTTACTTAATTGGTGG